AGCCATTTAACTACATAACACAGGGCAAGGAAAAGAAAGTTAACATGCTACAAGTTACTGAAATTATCATGTATGTATGTCAGTAGTAAAGCAGAATTCAATAAATAAAAATTTTACTTATGTAGCTTTTTCTAGGAATAAGTTTATCATGTAAAGAGAAGAATTCCCATAGTGTCTACACTGCAGTCGGTGGTTTGTGGATTGAGTGACAGCGTCTCCAAGTCCCCAGCTCTTGGTCCTGAAGTGACCTGAGCAGCAGGGAGCTCTGAGAACAGCTTTCAGGACAGCCTCACAACAGCTTTGAACTATCTTCTGTCAAGGGTACAGCAGTTCCATAATCACCCATAATAACAGCAAGTAATATATTTAAAACAAAAACCCTATTGGTATGTGGCTGGGTAATTTAAAAAACAGCCCCCGCCCCCAAAAGAAAAAACAAAGTAACTATCCATTCCCCTATGGTGTAAAGTATAGCTATGTGTATAGTGAAATTTCTTATTTTCATTTCACATAAAATTCACCAAACTTCTCATTCACTCATTACTTACCCATTATGGGGTTTTTAAACGGCACTTTGAAAGTTTGCCTTGGCTCAGGGTGAATTATGTGCCCAGATTTTATTCCTGAAGTCATGCCTCCCCTAGGCCTTCTGTACCTTTTGCAAATTCACAGCTCATTTTGTGGGAGGCAGTGGTTTGTGTGCATGCGTGGGCATAGGTGGGGGCAGTCTTAGGATATCCTAAATGGTGGAATGTTTTGTAAGCAAGGGTCCTATCACACAGATTAAGGAGCAAAAAAAAAAAAAAAAAAAAAAAAGAGTAAAGAAGAGCCAATAAAGGTATCAGCAAAATTAGGTTACCTCCTTGCAGTTATGCATATACTTGGATAATCTATTGATTTAACAGGTGGAAGAAATGCGTGTACCAAAAATTCATTGAATGTTTGGATATCAGGAGGTACAAATACAAAAGTGCGTGAAAAGGTAAAAGTGAGGCAAAGCTGCTTCTGAGGATAAAATAAACCTTGGATTATGATACATCATAAATGCAACGTTGGATACAGATAAGCAGAGAAAAAAATATTTTGTGTCCACGCTCCATAAAAAAACGTGATCTTCAAGAACAACATTAGGACCAGGCGTTGGTGGCTCATGTCTGTAATCCCAGCACTTTGGGAGGCCAAGGCAGGAGGATTGTTTGAGCCCAGAGTTCGAGACCAACCTGCGCAACATAGTGAGATGTTGTTTCTACAAAAGTAAAAAATAAAATTAGCTAGGTATGGTGATGCACATCTGTAGTCCCAGCTACTCAGTAAGCTAAGGCAGGAGGATCACTTGAGCCCAGGAGGTCAAGGCTGCAGTGAGCTGTGATTGCGTCATGGCACTCTAGCCTGAGTAACTCAAAAGAAAACAAAACAAAGGCCAACATTAGTATTTTATGAGAAGAACTGGGGGTTCAGGTGAGGCAAGGCAGCTACAGACGTTTACCAATTTCAAGAGGGCAGTGAAAGTTCTTCCTGGCACCTAACCTCTCTCCCAACTCACCTGCAAGTCGTTGCTTGAAATATCGTCCAACAGAGCCCCTACAGCTCAAGAGCAAAGGTGAGGGGCATTATGGCAGAAGCGAAACACCAGTTCCTCAGAAAATTACAACAGTAGCTTCTAGATTCATAGAGATTTTGAGCTAGAAGAGCTCACAGTCACCATTTCATTCCTGCTTCATCCTAATACTTATATTTTACAGATGTGACAATTGGGTTCCCAGTGATTAAGTGACTGGCCCCAAGATCACATAGCCAATTAATGGGGGTGGGGGTGGGGGGATGAAGGGTAAAAACGCCTATTTTCAGCTGTCTCCAGCTCTTTTTTTACACTGCTCAGCCCCGCATGTATTCAGAAGGGATAAGAGACGGGACCTGGGATGCTTCACCGAAAGATGAGTCCTGATACCAGGGGCAGCACAATGACTGAGTGGGTCACAGACTGCATGTCTAGAAAGTGGCGCTTTCAGATTTGTGCCTGGGCTCAGAAGTTTGCTCTTTTGCTTAAGACTGGCTTTAATGCCAAGGAAAATTGAAAGCCATTAATATACCACGACACAGCAGATTGCTCTTCCAGAGATATAGTTAATCTCCAGGTAAACCATATTCCCTAGTGAAACACGGTTTCCTCTACTGAACCACAGAGCTGTGCTCTGACACCAGTTTTAATAAGGTTATTGTTCACTCACAAAGCACAAGAACTTAGCACGTTTTTATGTGGTCATTTGTAAGTTTAGAAATTATTCTGGATTTTATGAGGGGAAGTTATCTTGTTATGAAGATGCGTTCATCTCAATTTTGCATCAAACTAATGTGTACTCATGAAAACTATCCTAAATAGGAAAAGTAAATATTCTCCACCACCTAAAATTAACCTTGAGTGGCCTAGGTTGTTTTCAACACTTCCATTTCATTTGGAAGTAGAATTTAAACAAAACACTATTTTCCATGAAACCTGTCCCTCTGAAAATGCTACTACTGATTCTTAATTTTTCCAATGATTTTGAGCACTTAGTTGGCCTTCAAATATATTTAAAAATTAAGTGAGTTAATTTTTCTGATGAGATCCCACACTAGTTTTTTTCTTTATAATTACACATGATCAGGTTTTTATTTTGGCTATGAATTTGATTTTTTAGGATGCCCTTGTTAATGATGTTATGTTGCCTCCTGATGCTTAGGGTTGTTGGGATATATTGGGTTTCCGGGAAAAGTATAATTGAAACTACAATATCAAATATCATTAAACAGATGTCAAAACAAAGCAATTATAGTGTTACTCATTTAATTATAATAGAAAAATTCCAGTTAATTTGCTTATTTTGCCGTAGTGAATGTGTGATTCTAACAGGTAAGAAGCTAAAATCCTTAGCAGACAGAGGACACTAACAAAGTTCTCACTGCAGCATTTTAAGAAAACCCTGGATATTAATCAGCTTGTTTAAACGGCTGAGCAGTAACACACATAATGTGCTAGTATTTCTTAACAAACAGATTTTCCTAACCATGCTGCTGCCTCCAGAAATATTTTATTGGTCATCATCAACGTTCAGAGATGTTGTTTTAGGGTAGAGACTTGGTGATCCATCCTCACAGAGCATGGCTGGAAGGAAGGGTCTCCTGAAACTGCGAAATGAGAAGAACTGAAAAGGGTCTTGTGAGGTCATGACCCTGTAAAGGGGTTGGTTTACAGAGTGTGAAGCAGGCAATTCAGCAGCTGCACCCAGGAAGCAATGCCACAAATGCCCGTGGCTGGGAATCAGAGATACTGTCATTTTGAAGGACTTCTGGATACCACCTCTATGACACAGTCCCAGTTTCTTTGATCTAACTTCTATGATAGAGAACACTCTTTAATTTGGAATACAGTTCAGTATTTCAACAGAAGATCCTAACATATAAAGCAAATAATTGCCTTCTCTGTTAGTCTTTTGCTTGTTTTAGACCATTTTTAGGGCCCCAAGGACAAATATACTAAGGACTGTGCTCAAAATCTGAGGTGCAAATTCTTAAGCAAAGGCTGTCCATTCCAGGCCCGCTGCTGGATGTCCCAGCCTTAAGGTGTGTGGACCTGGAGGGCGGACTGGCCAGCTCCTATGCTGCTATAAGAATAGCATTTTTGTAAGAGAATTGATTCCAGAGAAACTTATTTTAGCTTACTTTAAAAGGCTAAATAAGTGATTGCAGGGCAAGAGCTACGAGTTTGGTGCCAAGATTTTTAGGATTTTTTTCATGTTATTATCAACGACCTATTTTCTCAACAATGGTACTTTTCTCTGCTTCAGTTTTATCTATATAATGGATAGATTCAGTTTAATTCCCATGTTCCCAAAGAAGTAATGATGGGAAGATGTGTTGATAAACGTTTTTAAAGCTAACTTCCCTGGAAAGAAAGAAGGCCTTTTTCTTTTTTTAGCTCCCTGAGAAAATATTTGGAGACTAACACTAGGTCAAAAATCTCACAATTTTGATCCTCTTACTAGTGTTTTAAGGTGAAATATACTAGAGTAGGTTGTGATGTGTCTATAAATATATTATGTATATATCTTTTCTTTGATTACAAAGTGAAGAACAAGAATACTGAATTATGGAATGTCAGGCCTCAAAGGTTAGTAAAATGTAGATGCTGTAATTAAATATATCATTTTCCTTATGCTGAGGAATTTTTAGTCTCCCTCCGCTCTGTTTTGAATGCCATTCTCATACATCTGTTCCACAGGAGTAGCAGTGAGACCTGTTTGAAGTTTAAATCCACGACACCCCTTCCAGAACAGTGGCAACTCAATCACAAAAATGATCAGGCAGAAATGCTTTTTTCCGATAAATAGGGGCAAATTCAATCTCTCTAAGGAAAACGAACACACACACACACACACCCCGTCTATATTCAGAGTTGAGGTTTTTCTTCTACCCCCAGCTAATAAAATCGGGGGCTGCAATGAGGCCGAGCGGCACGTAGTTTGATGTCCGCAGCAGGATACGGGGAGTCAGAAGTGGCGCTGTAAATCCAATGTGGGGCTTCCACGCTGTGTGAAGTGTGGCCTGAGTCACAGAGATTTTCCTTTGATGCAAGTTCAGTATATTAATGGGAAAAGCATTCACTTTTATTTGTCTATACTGTCTGCGACAGCAAGGCTGCCTCATTTAGCCCAGGCCAACATGAAAATACACAGAGAAGCAATCTGTTGCAAATTAGCACAACCCTCCTTTCATTTACTAGCTAGTAATTGGAAGGGGTTAAGAAAGTGTAACTTATCAGATCATGTGAACGTATCTGCTCCTGTGGACAGCAAGCTTTCCCCGAATTTCCCTACGACCCCTGAGGCAAAAGTCCTTTCCCGATGGCCACTTGATCAGAAAGAAAACATCGACACGTGTGATATAGACACACTTTGATAGGTTTAAGAGTGCAGTTTCCGAGGCTCCTGAAGGAGGCATTCAAATCTTCATTTGAACCTTACCTTTCTTTAGATATGTTTTTACTCTCCCGTTTCCAAATTGTCTTGAAGTCACTGCAGAACTCGTACCACACCATAAACACGTAGCTGGGTGTGATCTCCTTCTCACCAGACTTTGGCTTCATCCCAAAATATCCTACTGTTGTTTCAAAACTGCAACAGGTAGGGGGGGAAATGGAATGAGGTAGAGGGTGAGAAATTCTCAACACTAAAACCCATTAGGAGGGGGATGCTGGGGGCAGTTTCCCATGTGTTTAATTCTCTAACACAGAAGCTGAGGGCTCATAGTTACTGAAGTTTATTGTAAGCCTCAGAAAATCTATTTGCTCAAACTGATGTGCCAAAAAATGGAACTTGATCGGGATGCTCCTGGGCACATCTTATCTGTATAAAATCAGCATGTATCATTTCTGGGGTTGTGTAGGTAAAATGTCTTGAGTTCGTTCTTCATCTCAGATTCTCGTCTCTTCCCTGCTCTTCATTTTATGTTTAGTGATTACACGCAAGGCTGATGACACGCTGACTGCAGCATTAGCAGCGGTCGGTTCGAGAGCTCATTGGGAATAATTAATCTGTCAAATACTTCACAGAAAAGCAAGAAAATCCATTCTATCCTTATTCTGGTGTATACTGGCTTTGTAACCGTGGGTCAATCACTCAGCATCTTTGACTCTCAATTTTCTCAAGGGTAAAATAAGACATGTAGATGATATGATCTTCAGGAGGGCTACCTTTTAAAACTTAATATGACACAAGAATACAAACCACCGATGTATAAAAATAGATACAGTTGTAGGCATAGCAAGTTTTGGATGAAAAACCATTTCTGATCTTGAAAAATGATCTCCAATCTGGTCAGTAAAGAGTCCCATTTTTCCAGAGTGGATTCCCAGATATCAGTAAGACCTATCCCAGCGAGGCTCACTGCACACCAGACTACCTGGGCCTCCCAAGCAGCCCTTCTTGGAGGCACTAGCTTTGCGGCAATTTATAGCTTTGAACTCAATCTTTCGCCCTCACCCCCACCTGCCCCAAGCCTCACAAGCTCATTTGCCATGAGCAAGAACACTTAAATAAATGACCCCCTTTTCTAGGGTGTTAGAAACTAATCAAAGCAGGAATGGCTGGCCAGGTTTATTACTCAATGCTCTATCATCTGTTCAGACACAGCAGGTTTATTTTTTATTTTTTACTTTTTGTGGCCATCCTGAATACTGATTTTCTAATGGAACTCTATTCAATGGCGATTGTAAAACCCTGAAGCTCCGTTACTATTCTGGAGCATACTTTCATCTCGCTCTCAGTTATTGGGCAATATGTATCTCATAAGATTTTATCACATTTCACAGATGAACTGTTAATTGATTCCATGGCTACGATTAGGCGAGATCCAAGCTGGAGCTGCAGCTCTGAGTCCCATAAATTCTTTGTGCTTCTGTAAAGAATAAATCTGTTTTTAATGCAAATTAAAACTACTGGTCAGGGAATTTTGGCTCCCAGTTATTAAAAGACTGGAAGTGCATAAGTGGAGAAAGGCAATAACTGCAGTAATCTCTTACGGGACTCCATTATAATTCCAAACATACATAATGTCAAGAAAAACCGGTAAGGGAAGAAAGTGGCAATGTCCACTCCTGCCCCAGACATAACCCTTATTTCCATGGCAGTCCAAATTCTGGTAAAACCAAATGTACGCTCTATAGCATGTAACTTTTTAAAATTCAAATGAAAATCATTTTGACTATAGCACAGGAATACATAAGTAGAGTTATATAACCTATAGGAACAGGCCATGCATTTCCTATAAAGTCACAGGACTTTAGAATGGGAAGGAATTTACAGGATGACTTGCCCAAATTATCATTTTATAGATGACAAAACAGAGACCTGGAAAGATTGCGTGGCATTATTCACGGGTAAGGTTGGGCCTAGAATTCAGGTCTCCTGATTTTCTGTGAAATGCTGTGTCTGCTTCATCTTTCTGTTGCTCATGCTCAATCACACAGGCATTTAGGAGACAAAATAGTCATTCTCCCCGACCCTTTTCTACTTTAGACACAGTTGTCCTCTGCGTCACACATAACATGCATTATCCCAGGGAGGCCACATGATTATTTTTTCTCTTTCTTTTTTTTTTTTTTTTTTTGAGACGGAGTCTGGCTCTGTCACCCAGGCTGGAGTGCAGTGGCGCGATCTCGGCTCACTGCAAGCTCCGCCTCCCGGGTGTACGCCATTCTCCTGCCTCAGCCTCCCGAGTAGCTGGGACTACAGGCGCCGCCACCTCGCCCGGCTAGTTTTTTTGTATTATTAGTAGAGACGGGGTTTCACCGTGTTAGCCAGGATGGTCTCGATCTCCTGACCTCGTGATCCGCCCGCCTCGGCCTCCCAAAGTGCTGGGATTACAGGCTTGAGCCACCGCGCCCGGCCTATTTTTTCTCTTTCTTAAGCTTACCTTCTATACAGATACATATTTATTTGAGCATTCATGGGGAAGGGAGAGTCTTTCATTTCTAATATTTAGAGGAACAACTTATCTTTCAATTTTCCAGCAAAATACAGTGAAGTCCAGTTATTGTGCTTCATAGAACACCTGACACCTCTGGCATTACCTGGAGTCCAGATTGTGAGATTAACATATTGCAAATCCTGGTGCAGTTTCAGAGAACGGCAAGAGTAATTTGCTGGTTGTTACATGGCCTGAGAAAAACACATCATCCTCCTGTGGGCCTCGATTTGCTCAACTCTAAACTGAAGCTAACCAATGCCCTCCTTGTCTCTCTCCCTGGGGATTTGTGAGGTACTGCTTGCTTACTCTCCCTTAAAGGGTGGGAAACACTAAAAGAAATACTAAATTTCAGCCTTTTTTTCCTTATGTGTTTTGGAAACTAAGACAGCAAGCGAATCTCTTCAGAAGAACCAAAGTAAACAGAGTCCCAGAGGATGGCCTGGCTTTGGCACTCAGCAGCTTTGACAAAGATAAAGTCACTTCAAGAATGTGCCTTATTAGGCTGGGCGCGGTGGCTCACGCCTGTAATCCCAGCACTTTGGGAGGCCGAGGTGGGCGGATTACAAGGTCAGGAGACCAAGACCATCCTGGCTAACACATTGAAACTCCGTCTCTACTAAAAAAAAAAAAAAAAAAAAAAAAAAAAAAAAAATTTGCCTGGTGTGGTGTCGGGCGCCTGTAGTCCCAGCTACTTGGGAGGTTGAGGCAGGAGAACGGCGTGAACCCAGGAGGCGGATCTTGCAGTGAGCTGAGATCGCGCCACTGCACTCCAGCCTGGGCGACAGAGAAAGACTCCGTCTCAAAAAAAAAAAAAAAAAAGTGTGCCTTATTTGATTTCACTGTTATTCCACTGTTTAAGAAAAACCTAAAAGCTAGAATATGAACTTGCGATGATCTCATAAGGCCTAGATTGTTGTCTTTCCTAGATAAAACTCCCTTCATTTTAAATTCAGTTTTGATTCACAGAGGCTGACCACTGAAAATCTTTTGCAATTTGGACAAGAGAATTGCTGATATTTAACAACCAGGAGAATCTTCTCTAATATACAGGAAACAAAGGTCAATTATGCGATTTGAAATTTCTATTTGTCAGCAGATAGCTCTAAAATGGCTCTCAACTTTTAAAAGATTGATTTCTAATCCTATGTTTAGTTTTATATAACTTTTTTATTTCACTGCAAACTAGTCCCTGACCCCTTTTCTATCTGCTATAATTCCCTGTCTGATTTGTATCTTTTTAATTCGGCCAAACATTTTTAAAGTACAGACAATGATTACATCAAAGAACCCATAGCAAAGTGAACTGTTTTACTTTTACAGTCCTGAGATCCAAAGCGGAACACATCCACTTATTGTCTTATATGCATGCCTTCAGAAACTGCTTAGGAAAAGCAAATATTCCTTAGCCTCAGAGTAAACTGTTTCTCTTGAGAATAAAACATAAGAATTCACTAATCTCACACAAATATTGCAACACTGACCACGACCTCCTTAAAGAGTGTAACCAAACAACTGTGGTTTCTACATTAAAGATGGGATCTAACATATTTCATGTATGACATGAAAGCTAGACTACCTTCACCACAAAGCCACGGAAAACGCTGACAACCAGAATTTATGACTCCCCTCCGCAGAGCTAATGCACGGCAGCAGCTTCGGCCCCTCTACGGTGGGCCCCCTTTTCCTTCAGCAAGAATCTTGAAAAAGTATTAGAAATTTGACATCCGCCCCAGAAGCTGAATTTCTGTTTGGCCTGACACCAATGTGCCCTTGTTGATAATCTCTTCTCTATGTGCTGCATGTTTCCATAACACAGACGTGCTAGTTTTATGCATTGGGGAAGGGAAGCTTAATATAGGAACAAGGTCAATAGAGAGACACAAACTCCTAAAAACATAACCATGAAATTATCTCAGTTTTGAATGATTATTATGACAGGATGATAAGCACGATTTGAGAATATGTCTGCACTTAGCAAAGTGCAAGACTTGCCTTCACCTCGCTTTCACCAGCATTTTAATCTTATTGGTATTACAGTGGGAAGCAGGGCAAGATGTTGGCATCTGTGAAAGCAGGGCAGATGACTCTATGGGATTTCAGAAGTCTTGGAAATTGTGGTTAAACAGGGGGGAAATGGTGAATTTCTACAATCTGTTTATTTGCATTTAAATTCCTAACTGGGCGACTGTTCCTCTCACACATTTGTAAAGCTCATTTGTCCTTATATGCTGTCTCCTACCCCTACCTCTCATCTAATTTACCAGTACTTTTAGAATTGGTACCAGCAAAATGTATCTCAAATTTCAGACCTACATATGAGAACACCTCTGTCTACTGCCACTCATTCTTCTACGAGGGAGGGAGAGCCACGTTGACTAACCTGGTCAATTAACAAAAAAGAAAAAGCCCTAAGGGGTGAGAACTGCTGATGATTAGGAGTGAATGGTTCCCCTCTGGTGTCTATTGAGAGAAAGACACAGAGCAAGGAAGATGCCTGAAGTGGGTGACATGAGGCTGAACAGAAGACCTCTGAGGTCTTCCCCGACTTATGGGGGGAAATGTCCATATGCTATATGGGCATATGGTCAGCCCCTTCTCCCCACCTGAACATATGGACAGCCCCTTCTCCCTACCTGTCCCTTGTTTATAATATCCTTCTCTAGAAGCTGAGGAAAGACATAATAAGTCTCTTAGGTGTCTACAATAATTAGTTTGATCTGGCTATAATGCTAGGAAGGATCAAACTGTCCCTGACTTCCATGAAGCAGTTCAGGAGCAGAGCAATGCAGGAGAGGCAAACAGGCAGAATAGTGTCATGACATGCATGTGAGGCAGGTGAGTCACTTCTGGATGATCCCTGCTTCCTGAGGAAAAATATTCCTGAGTCCTGCTACAGTGCTTTCACTCCAGCTTCCAAGTGAAGTTTATTGCTTATGGATGCATAGCCTTAACACATGGGGCCGAAAGTATGGCTAGTCAAACATTATGCTACAGGAAAGAAGCCAGTCACACAAGGACAAATACTAGATGACCTCAACTGCATGAGGTAGCTAAAGTAGTGAAAGTCACAGAGACAGAAAGTAGAATGGTGGCTGCCTGGGGACAGGGGAATGGGAAATTCGTGTTCAAAGGGTGCAAAGTTTCAGTTGGGGAAGTGAAAATGTTTTGGAGATAGAACTGCATAGTAAAATGAATGCACTTCATAATAATAACACAAAAGAATGGCTAGTCAAAGAAAGAACTGGGGCCACATTAGAGCTGCTTACCTTTTCTGTGCATTCTCTAAGTGACTTTCTTCCATCTTATGCTCTTTTCTGGCTGTAAAAGAGAAATCATGATTAAAAATGTTTTCTTCTGTCGTCTCCTTTGCGTAATCTTACAGCTTCAATTACACCCATTCTTTACCACAGCAGGTCTGAATTCAGGGATGGGTAGCCTCTAGCACATGTCCTGGTAATAGCACTCCATTTGCTTTATCTGCCACCACTGCTTTTTTTCTTTTTAATTATACTTTAAGTTCCAGGGTACATGTCCACAATGTGCAGGTTTGTTACATACGTATACATGTGCCATGTTGGTTTGTTGCACCCATCAACTTGTCATTTACATTTCTCCTAATACTATCCCTCCCTCAAACCCCCACCCCTAACAGGCCCTGGTGTGTGATATTCCCCACTCTGTGTCCATCTGTTCAGTGAGAACATGTGGTGTCTGGTTTTCTGTCCTTGTGATAGTTTGCTGAGGACGGTTTCTGGCTTCATCTATGTCCCTGCAAAGGACATGAACTCATCCTTTTTTATGGCTGCACAGTATTCCATGGTGTATATGTGCCACATTTTCTTAATCCAGTCTATCACTGACGGACATTTGGGTTGGTTCCAAGTCTCTGCTATTGTGAACAGTGCCACAATAAACATACGTGTGCATATATCTTTACAGTAGCATGATTTATAATCCTTTGGGTATATACTCAGTAATGGGATGGATGGGTCAAATGGTTTTTCTAGTTCTAGATCCTTGAGTAATCGCCACACTGTCTTCCACAATGGTTGAACTCATTTACACTCCCAACAGTGTAAAAGTGTTCCTATTTCTCCACACCCTCTCCAGCATCTGTTGTTTCCTGACTTGTTAATGATCGCCATTCTAACTGGCCTGAGATGGTATCCCACTGTGGTTTGGATTTGCACTTCTCTGATGACCAGTGATAATGAGCATTTTTTCATGTGTCTGTTGGCTGCATAAATGTCTTCTTCTGAGAAGTGTCTGTTCATACCCTTTGCCTACTTTTCGATGGGATTTTTTTTTTCTTGTAAATTTGTTTAGGTTATTTGTAGATTCTGGATATTAGCCCTTTGTCAGATGGGTAGATTGCAAAAATTTTCTCCCATTCTGTAGGTTGCCTGTTCACTCTGATGATAGTTTATTTTGCTGTGCAGAAGCTCTTTAGTTTAATTAGATCCCATTTGTCGGTTTTGGCTTTTGTTGCTATTGCTTTTGGTGTTTTAGTCATGAAGTCTTGATAACAGACATAGCTAACAGAGGCCAAATAATTTGTTTTCTCTGGGACACTTTTGAGACTGATATTAATAATTACACCTGGACAAAGACATGAATTAGGGCAATCTGGGTAGATCAGGACATGTGCTCACTCTTGCACATCTCATCATGTTCCCCCTTAACGTTCCCACAAAAAACAAAACCAACACGGGAACATAATAAACTCAGTAGCATTTGCAACAGTTCAGTTCTGCTCAGAGTCATGGGAATCTTGCACACACTGCCTCCACACCCACAGGCCCTTTTGGCAGTCTAGGGAAGCCTGTGGACTCTTGTCAGAATAATGTTTTCATGAGGTTACTAAGAAAATCAATGATACTGAGATACAACTCTGAATCCACAGGTCAAGAACCTATGTTCTTTCTATAGGATTATCAAGAGGTTTCATTTTGGGGTGGTTCTTTTATATATCCTTCTCTACAATCAGAAGATATATTATTGTATATGAAAATACCACTCTCACACTTTAAAAATACCAGAAAAATAGGAAAGTCGAGACGTAAGCTATACAAGCCTTCAGATTCCTTTAATTTAGGGCTACGATGATTTAAAATGAATGAAAAAAAATGAATCTTATGTTTAGGATCTATGCTGTGATACTTCATGAAAGGTAATAAGGGATTTTGAAACACCACCATTTTATTAAACCTGGCCCTACCATTTACTACCTGTGTGACTCTGGGCAAGTTAGTTAAGACCAAATGCTTAGTTATTGCCTCATCTGTCCTATGAGAATAGCCATAGTGACCATTATCATACAGCTGCTGTAAAGATTTAATGAGATAATACATGTAAAAAGAGGTATTATTAAGAGCCAATGCACACTGCAGAAACTCCGAGGGTAGGGAAAAGCGCCTCCAGGAAAATGAGAAGAAATTAGTCATCTAAATTTTTCCTAATTTTGCCCATGTACAGATAAAAAAGGCATCTACCCTTGTGGTGTGACCTGGAGGCTCTAACAGCCTAAAATATTTCTCTCACTTGAATGTGTAAAATTTCTAACCAGGCCATTACACATTTTAAGTCTTTGAGATGCTCCAAGCAAAACACAAATACATTAACTGGAAGAACCATGTTTAAAGACTGGAGTCACAAACTCAAATTCTAATACCATCAACAAACAAGCTAAGTGTGGGCCAAGTATAAGAATCCCAGTGTTCTAACATTCTAGTTCTAGTTTTTCAACACAGGAACTGATAGCCTTAAAGTGGGACAGACAGTAGGGAACTGCAGGGAAGTGGGAATGCTGTACTCCATTTACGAGAGAACAAGCACTTGGTCCTGTTACCAGATTTAGTTTTTTAGACTAGAAGCTAGAAAGGGATTTCTAAATGAATGTTCCCAACTTAAAAAAAATTCAAACATAATATGACAAAGAGAACAGTCTTGCTGGCCACGTGTGGCTCTGCAACCTCTGATTTCAGCCTCTAGTAGCTGCTGACGTCATAACATAGGAGGGTTTATTCCTTCCTTCCATGCGCTGGACACTATCCCAGGTGTTTGGGATCCACCAGTGAAGTAAGCAAACAAAGTTCCCTGTAGAACTTTTGTTTCTGTTGGGGAAGACAAATAATTAAACCCAAGAGAATAAGAATCAGCGTAAGTAATTTTTGATAAGTGGTAACAATAAAAACAAAACACAAAACCAAAAAACCCATCCAGAGCATAGATGGAGGACTATAGATGGAGACTCTCCATGAGTTACCAAATTAGGCATGCCTGGGTAGCTAGAGCACGTCCCACTGCGGCTCGGTACACAAAGGGAAAGGCAATATTGAAACTGAAGATGACAAGTCTTAGATGAACTGTTCTTTGACTAGGAGTGGCTCAAATTGATGTGTAAAATTTACTTAGTCTTCTATTCTACAAAGCCACATAAATAGCGGGATTTAGATGCTTCATTTTTCTTTTTTTGAGACAGCGTCTCACTTTGTCACCCAGGCTTGAGTGCAGAGGCATGATCATAGCTCACTGCTGCCTCAAACTCCTAGGCTCAAGCAATCCCTCCAACTCAGCCTCTCGAGTAGCTGGGACTATAGGCGTGCATCACCGTGCCTGGCTTACCTTATTTTTTAGAGATGAGGTCTTGCTATTATACATATATTATATATAGTATATATTATATATTATGTATAGCATATATTATATATTATATATAGCAGATAATATATAGCATACAGTATATATAGCATATATTATATATTATATATAGCATATAGTTTTTTTTTTTAATATATATGCGCTAGTCTCAAACTCCTTGGCTCAAGCGATCCTCCACTTTGGCCTCCCAAAGTGCCAGGATTACAGGTGCAAGCCACCATACCTGGCCCGCTTTGGGATTTAAAGTGGGACACTGCTAATGTGAGGTGAAGCGGGGGTATGTATCTTAGGAGACAGATGGGTTTGGAGGAACTGTCAGACTCAGTATGGGGAGGTAGGGAAATAAAAGGCATCCCTCAACTTGTTCTTCTCTCCTCTATTTATTGTCTTTCTAAACACTTTTGTTCTTATTTTCCTCCTCTCTCTTATTTATAAGAAGCTTTCTTATTGTCTGCCATGAGTTAAATATAATTCTTTTCCAACTCGTAGGAATGAAATGTAGCTGCTTACAAGAGTGACTGATGGTCTCACAGTTTTCAAGGTAATAAAAGCAATAAGGAAAATAAGTCAGAGTATTAAAAATGAGAAGTTTTGCTTAACATAAATTCTGTCTCCTAAATGTCTTTACCAAGGTTCCTTGCATGCTGTGATGATGGTGAATCTTGGGAAATGCTTGGAGAAAGCTGAGAGGTAAGTTTGCCTGGTGACACGCTTATAACATGGTACAATTTTTATGTCACTGGCAGACTACGTGGTTTTTCTTAAATTTAAATTTTCTCCTTAAGTAACATTTTTCATAATTCTGTGTCACAGAGAGAAAGTAACATGGCTTCCTCAAAAGGTGTTTTGTTAAAAGAGACACATATGTGGATTTTATTTAATACAGTCTTGACTGAATACAGACTGCTGGCTTTTGTGTAAACCTTTAATGCCCTGAAATTTTGTTTTCTGGTTAATTTGCTGGCCATTGTTTTACTAGTTATCATGAAATTGCTCCACAAGAACAATTCTCAAGTTCATAGTTTCGTAGCCTACCAAGTGAAGCAGAAATGGCTCTTTCTATTCCACAGCTATGGGCCCAAGGAATGCAAATCAGAACTCACAACACCTAAACGCCAAGCTTTAAGCCTCGCTGTGTCATCTGAGTGTCATGAATCAATCACAGTGTCCTGTGTTTCAGTTTCCCGCTCTGTCAAATGGAGATGATGATACCTATCACCCACAGAGTTGCAGTCAGTCTTTTCAGTCGGGTCTTTGACAGTTCAACGTCATGCCATGGCTGCTGGGGGTTCAAGCTTCCAAAGGGTTGGCTGTTTTGCCAAAGTCAAATGAAGTGTAGCATAGAGGAAAGAGCTTGGGTTTTGCATCAGGCGGACCTGGGTTGAATTTCTGCTCTGATACTTATGAACTGGGTGATCTTCAGAAAATCACTTAACTTTACTGAGCCTTATCCATAAAATGGGAATAGTAAGATCTACCTTGCAAAGTGCTTGTGACTATGAGATATACTGAACGTGTGAGGTTAATCTAGTGACTGACATACGGTGGGCATTCAAGAATGGCGGCCATTTATTGTCGATTGGCTACAAGCAAATGCTAGTAGTCACTGTTCTAGCTTTCTGACTTTGGCATGGTTATCACAAAATTTCACACAACAT